ATAAATCCCTCGCAATGAAGACCTTATAGCCAAGTGAGAAAACATGGAGACAAGAACACCGGGATGAGCGCAACTTCAATACTAGAGGACGAGCACAAAGCTTAAGCGTAACGGAGAACTCCAACGGCGCAGAAAATCCATCATGTTTAAGGCCACGAGGCTGGATGGTCGCATGTTTCGACCACCTCCAGGGGTGGGCATGTGTTCAAAAATTTAAAATCCATCATGTTTAAGGCCACGAGGCTGGATGGTCGCATTTTTCGACCACCTCCAGGGGTGGGCATGTGTTCAAAAATTTAAAGTCCATCATGTTTAAGACCACGAGGCTGGAGGGTCTGTAATATCCCGTCAGTTTATCAGTATAAATCATGTTTTTAGTTCCGATATATTAATATTGTCGAGTATTAATTTTCGGAATTAATTAATTCAGTCGAGATTACCTGAAATTATTTTTGACGTTTCGTTTACGTTTGAAATAATTTTGGTAATTAAGTATTATGCTTAATTAAGTAATTAAGCATTTACCTATGGTTAATTATAAATTAATCAAGTTTAGAAAGCTTAATGCCGAAGCATTAAGTCCAAATTACTTCCTCATTTTACTAAAACCGTAAGTTAGAATTAAGTGGGAATTTTGGTGGAATTTTATTTCTTTAGCTAGTATGAGGTGGCTAGGTTTGGTGCACTTAATGGTGACTAACCTCAGTTATTATGACTAAACATATTGGTTTAATAGGTGTCACATAATGGTGAAGACACCACACCACCTCATTATCCCAAATTTCTCCCTATTCGGTTTTAGTATATAAGTGAGTATTTGGAACCGATTTCATCATCATTTTTCAGCCATATAAACTCCATTCAGCGTAGATAGTTAAGAGAGAGTTAGTGAGATTAGTGAGGAGTTCTTGAGCACCGCAAGTTCAGCACACACGCCCCCATCGCACACGCACGCCGCACGCGAGCATCACGCACGAAGCGTCGAACGCCGGGAGTACCTGGTGCGGTTCAGCGAGCAAGTAAAGAGGTAACTTTGATTACCTTGAGTTATTCATGATAAGGGCATATTAGTTCGAATTATGAATTGTTCATGGTGCGGTCTTAGGCATTTTGGCCGTGCGAGTGCGTCGTGATGAGCTCATGTTTTAAGTTAATATCTCTCGAGTAATAAGCATGTAGTCAGCTTCCTTATGATATATTATGATCAGTTGTTCAGTGTTGTTCGAAAGAACTTTCATGTTTAAGTGTCGTTGGGCCGAGGGAAGTGGCCGCGCACGTAGCGCGTGCCAACGGCCGCTCGTGTTTATAAATAAATGTAAGGGATTAGCACACAGTCTAAAATTACTGTAACTCGAAGTGTACAATACAATAATATTCCAAACTATAAGCTAACCGCAAAGTTCTAAAATACCCCCGAAAAAATTAATCACATGTTCGTGAATTCCTCCGAAACTCACACAATGAAATTATTACGCCCAAACGCATTTCGCATGGTTAGTTTCACGAAAGTACACTTTTTTTACATGTGTTTGTTGTTTTAACATCGATGAGGAAAAGTAAAGAAATCTTACGCGGCCTACGAGGCTTTCTTGGTTGCTGTGCTACACGACTCGAGTTTAATTTCCCTTTGAAATCTTGCAAAGATACAGTGCCTTCAATGATTATACACGGAGAAAAAAAAACGTTGAGAAGATTGAAACTCAGTTAATTAATATCAGTTCAGTTTCGTACTTAACCGGTTTCAGTTATACCGATTAAGTCCGAATATCATGTCAGGTTCAGTAGAGCATCTTAACATAATTAATCAGGTAATTTATCAGTCTGCGCATAGTCAGTAGTAATTATTTATATTATATTTCAATTTGATCAGGCATCAGCACTACATTCAGTTTCACGGATCAGGTGGGGACTCAGACTAAGTACTACATTGATTATAATATCGCTACCATGTTTGAGGTATGTATATTCAGTATCCGCTCGGAATGGTCGCCGGT